TCATATCAGTGTAATTATGTGATTACATAGTAAATTTAATTTTCTTAAGTAAATTAGATAATGAAATATACATATATTGTGAGATCTAAATGTATAACTATATTGTTATACACTATTATTAGTAGAATGGGATTTTGGTATCCATTGAATTGGTTTTAAATGAACTACTTGCTTCTATATATAAACTAGGGTTTCTGGGCTAATCTAATATGCATTTATCACTCATATTACTAGAAGGCTTCAATTGTTCCTGAGGAGTGCTTAAATTTATGTTTTTAATTTAGCATTATCTAGATTTCTTTTTTTCTTAAATTTGTGTTTTTGATTTAGCATTATCTAAATCTCTCTTATTCTTATATTTTTTCTAATTTTTTCTTTTATTTTTCTTCTTTTCATTCATCTTTATAGTAGAGTAGTAACTTCCTCCTCCTTTAACTTTAAAGTAGCAATTGATGTAGTTGCTAAATGTTGTATGGTTGTAATAATCAAATTTAATTGATAGTAATATTCACAACATATGGTGTAACTCCTCTTGCTTTTACTAATCCATATGTTCAATTAGAGTTCTTACAAATCCTAGGGATAATACAATTGGTTAAGTAATTTTATAGTGATTGCTACATATCATTCTTTGCATGATGTTCGATGTCTATACAAGTTTCCCACATGCTTTGAAGGGACAACACTATAATAGTACAATGGTTTGAGTGCAATAACTTGTGTAAATTACAGTTTTCTCTTGGACATCTTCAAATGCACATTTAGATATCTGTAAATAACTAAAAAGAACAATTCTATAAAAAGAGACAATCTATAAAAGTTTAAATATAGAAGGAAAGGGCCCATGAACAAAAGTGCACCTCCTTTTTCAATCAGTTAAGGGTTTTGGGATAATTAAAATTAAATATCTTTGGGTTTGAGTAATATTAGGTTAGGTGACCTCCTAGGAAGTCTAAACTTAGGAACTTATAACATGATGATGATGATGATAATACATTCTAGCAATTATATTATTTCCATCAAAAGTTGTATAAATTAATTATGCAAATTAGTGCTTGCTTTTGAAGCCTATTGCTTCATACGAAGCAAAATATATCAAAATGGATCAAATT